TTAAATTCTAAAGTCACCTATTCACTTATCATATTAACAATGGCAAAAAAAAAAAAAAAAAAAAAAAAAAAAAAAAAAAAAAAAAAAAAAAAAAAAACTTGTCATCTGATTGTCATCACGTGTAATGTTTTTTCTGTTTTTTTTCCTGATATTTCTGAGATATTAAGTGTATACTCTATTGTTACTTAACTTTTTATTTGATACTTAGAGAATAAGAATGTAAGTGTGTAAAACTATGGCGGAAAATAAGATTGTACTCCTAGGTCTAGGAAATAATGTTGTAGTACAGATTAAGCCTCAATAGTCCAGCAAACTTGGATTTTTCAAACCAGTGAAACTTATTGAAATGTTGAATTAGTGTTTTGTGAGTGGGAGAAAGAGTCCTTAGAATGGTATATAGAGTTGTACCAAGGGAGACTCCTAGTCCAGTGAAGGCATAGTCAAGCAAAAAAATGTTCCTTGCAAAGTCCTAAAGTTCCTTAAAGAATTAAAATGATGATGATTATTCTCACCTTTATTGTGTTTCTGTTATTTGCATGGAACTTTTTGGAGCTTAACGCAAAGGTGATGGCGCCAGATTTGTTAGTGATGTAATATTATGCAATAATCTCGATTTTGTGGGTAGGCCTAAGCTAGCCCATCATCTGCAAGTCATGGAGCATTTACACGTCATAGGCTGTTGCATCATGATGGTTGTAGCTGTAACTGTCTCCAAGGAGTTAATCTTGTCCTTACAGCACAGACATCTTCAATGGGATGTCTACCCCTAAGTTTACAACGCGCTCTCCGCCCATTTATATTTGTCTACTTTTATTAATTTATTCTCAACCTTACTACTTTTTGTCAGTTCTACAGTTAGCAAGTTTGAATTAGAAACAGCACCCCAAAATTACATTGCAAGAATACTAAATTAAATCCACCCAACCTATTCCATGCAAGATTGGTAGATACCAACCTGTAATAGTGATGTCCATAAAGATCAATATTGAATGAATAGGAAAGGAAAAGAAGTATGAGAATCTACAGATGCATTGCTTCCTCTCAGTTACCTAAGGCCTAGCCTCTAGTTGTGGTGAAGTGTTCTTAAGGTTATTCTATTTGTCGCTCTGGAATGATTACATAGAGGACCTGTGCTTTCTAGTTAATATCTTAGTGCTTATATTAATAATAGTTAAAGCAAAATTACTGGCAAACCTCTTGCTGTTGTGGAGCAGGATGGTATGTAATGTGATCCCTGACAGTCACGTGGAGTCAAGGAGAAATTAAATAGACTTTATTGGAGATAGTAATTGAATATGAATTGACCCTGTCGATGTTCCTCTTTAACAGACTAAATAGAAATATTCACCTGGAAACCAGGTAGCCAAGGATTGGTGTCAGCAATGATTGAAGGGATAAGTAAAAGGGGTTTAAGTTGTTGGAGGTGAGTTTCATAAAGACTTTGGGAAGAAACTCTCCATTTGAATATTAAACCACCCTCGTTTGTTGTTAGTTAATCCTTTGGGGCTCTCAGTTTGCCCTTTGATGTGTTTGGATTTTTTTTTTTTCCTCTCTAAAGAAAGAAAATTACTACTAGATGATAACTCCCTCCTTTGATCCATGCCTTGTATTTAACGTTGTTTAAGGATCTTAATAAAGAATATATGACATAAGTGTCCCCTGTAGAGAATACATTTTCCATTATGTAATCCATTGATACGTTGGTTTACGAATATTTATTTTTAGATTCCCCCCCCCCCCACTCTGTCTTTGGTTATGTATTTTTTTCATTTTTTTTGTTTTTGCTTATAAAGAAAGTAAAGCATATATTTACAGGACTCCTAAAATCCTACACTAGCCCCCATTACAATTAGGATGATTTTACTTACAGGCAGAGTTCTTATGGTAATGCAGTGGTATACCAGAATAATTGAATATTAGGGAAATGTGTGTATATATTTATATGCATGTATCTAATATACAATGAAATCACTCTACTCCAACTTTGGAATTAACAAGAAAGTACACATAAAAAAGTATGAATATGGAAAGCAGACCTTTCACTCGGTGTAACCACGAACATATATGAAATAACCATACCATAATAAGGTATATATCACCCTTTGTTAATAACTGCAACCAAAGTCATACACTAATAAAGTTGTAGGTTGGCTATTATGTATTATTATTATATTTTTTTTATTTGCATGCGTACATTGATTCATTTTGTATGCTTTGTTGTTTTGGTTCCGAAGGTATTACTTTGAGCTTGAGTATTGTTTTGTTTTGTGATATACTGATTTTGTACCTGGTTTTATTTATAGATTTTTTTTCTTTTTATTTACAGATTTAGTGACATATTTGCTATCTGTTTTTGTAGCTAAATTTGAATTCTTAGCAGTTGAGAAACTTGCTTTACAAATTTTTCTTAGCTGATTGTTAATTTTGTTACAATATGTACATAAAGTAAAGAATTATGTTTCACATATTTGTTTACATTTTTTTTGCATGATGGTACATA